AATATATGCGTTTAAGTGATTTTCGGAAGTGGACCTTATATGGGAGCTATGACCAATTATGGGCCTATCCGAAAAAAAATTCGTAGAATGATTCATGTTTAGGTAAAACATATTTGTGTCGAATTTTATCAATATAGCTTTACTTGGCATTGAAATATGTGCTTTTAAGTGATTTTCGGAAGTGGGCCTTATATGGGATCTATGACCAATTATGGACCGATCCGTAAAAAATTTTGTAGAATGACAAATTTGTGTCGAATTTTATCCCGATAGCTTTATATTTCAATGAAATATATGCGTTTAAGTGATTTTCGGAAGTGGACCTTATATGGGAGCTATGACCAATTATGGACCTATCCGGAAAAAATTTCGTAGAGTGATTTATATTTTGACTAAACCTATTTGTGTCGAATTTCATCAAAATAGCTTTAGTTGACAATGAAATAAGTGTTTTTAATGATTTTCGGAAGTGGGCTTTATATGGGGGCTATGACCAATAATGGACCAATCCGTAAAAAATTTGGTAGAATGATTTGTATGAACACAAAACATACCCCACTCGAATTTTATCACAATAGCTTTGTTCATCAATGAAATATGTGCGTTTAGGTGATTTTCGGAAGTGGACCTTATATGGGAGCTATGACCAATTGTGGACCGACTGAGATCTACGTTGACGGTATGATTTTTGTTCATATTGTATTTACATGTACAAAATTTCGTGTTGATACCGATATATTTGAGGGAGTTATTAACGATAAACTAATTTCCGGGAATATATAACTTTGTATGGGGGCTATGGGAAATATTAGATCGATTGTAAAGATTTTGAATGTAATTGAGCACTACCCTGAAAAAATAATGTATGAGAAAATTCATCGAAATATCTTTAGTAGTTTCTGAGAAAACTTTAAAAGAATTAGGAAAAAAACGTAATTTTTTTCGAGGTAGTCTGAAATTTTTACTCATAACTTTTTAGGTTGTGAACCGATTTTGCTGATTTTCAATACCAAACTGCTTAGGATAATAATAAATATTTTGGGTGAATTTGGTTTATTTTCTTTGCTTAGTTTTAACGTGAGCGTGTTTTACACAGACAGACAGACAGACGGACAGACGGACAGACGGACATAGCTAAATCGACTCAGAATTTGATAAGGACCCAGAATATATATACTTTGTTGGTTCTTAGATGAATATTTCTTGGTGTTATACACGGAACGACAAACTTATATATACCCTCTATCACCACTGATGGTGGTGGAGGGTATAAAAATATATATATTTTTTTTGAAACAGTGATGAATTCCTTTGAACAATTTTTGCTAGGACTAATAGGTGAAAAGTTACACTCATTTGAATAAAACCCTGTATTACCAAAATGTCCAACTTTGACACACCCCCTCCCCTTTAAGTGCGGCAGTTCTTGAAAATTTGTGTCTGACCTACCAATTTTGGTGAAAATTTCATTCAAATATATGGTGATTACACTAGAACATTTTCTACAGAAGTGCTCAAATAAATTTTGGTATTGGAATTTACGTTTACTTCAAAGTTATTTATGTAGAATTTAATCGTGTCATTTGTGTTTATAAGTAAATTTTGACCTTCAACTCGTTTTCTGAAGGGGAGTTTGTATGGGGGCTAGGGTGAAATGAGGCCCGATCATTACAAAAATCGGCAGTGTCCTTTAAATTTCAATAAAACTAGGTAGGTAGGTAGGTAGGTTGATAGGAGGATGTATACTACATCAAATCCGAAGAAATACACCTAGGCCACTATCGGGCCTGTTGTGCGCTCCAATTCAAGAAAAAAAAAAAAAAAAAAAAAAAAAAAAAAAAATTTGTTCACTGAATGTATTATTTTTCCATGTTCAGAAACTCAGTTTCCTGGACGTAATTCCTAAGAATCTTCCAATCGGTGTTGGTTAAGAATGTTATTTCTGGAATAACATCACTTCCAAGATACTTGGATCTAACTTCGACGAATGCCTGACAATGGCAAAGAAAGTGCTCCAGAGTTTCACTGTCCTCTCCACATGCTCTACATTCGTCTGAATTCGCACGTCCAATTTTGTATAGATGTGCTCGTAATCCTGTGTGTCCACTGAGAATACGTACCATCATACTAACCTCAGACTTGCTCATTTTGAGAAGATTTCTCGTCTTGCTCTCATCAGGGTCACCCCATAGAATCTTTGTGGTTCTACCCACCGTTTCATTATTCCAAGAGGCCTTATGGGATTCTCTCATCCATATTTTTAATTCAGCTTTTGTTGCGTCGAATGGTTTTGCGTTTGTCAGGTTAACTACATCGAGCTCCCTTCCCTTTAAAGCTATTACATTCGCCCTTTCGTTGCCGGCTACTCCCGAGTGGCCTGGTACCCATATGATGTGAACCTTACCTCTGGGAGAGTATTCAGTTAAAGCTTTCTTACAATCCAATACGGTCTTAGATTTAATTCTATCACCTGATATCGCACAAATTGCCTTCTGGCTGTCGGTAAATATATTAAGCCCTGTGGGCGCCATATTTATTCTAATCCAATTTACACATTCCGTTATTGCTCGTACTTCTGCCTGGAAGCTTGTGTTATGATTAGGTAAACGGTGGTATATTTCTGTTTCTGGGTCTTCAATATAGAACCCCAGACCCACTTTGTCCCCTAATTTAGAGCCATCCGTGTAGCAACGGATTCCTACTGGTATTTGCTCTAATGTTCCGCTTGACCAAGACATTCTATCTGGGATTAGCGTTTCAAAGTTTCCGACATATTCAGTGTCTGGTATGCGATCAGGCACGTCCGATGAATGTGTATAACCTTCCAATGTGTCCAGTATACATTGATGACGTGTCCTATAACCGTTTTTGGCCAGTTCGCCTAAAGTAAAGAGCCGTTCGGCTGTAAGCGCCGCCTCATATCTTATATATGTTTCAATGGGTGGAATATCTAGCAACGTTTCCAGAGCCTTGGTTGAAGTAGTACACATGGCACCACTTATACCCAAGCAGCATGTACGCTGAACTCCCTGTAGTAGTTTGATATTACACTTTTTGTCCAAAGCAGTCCACCAGATTATTGAATCATAAGCTAGAATTGGTCTAATTACACTTTTATAAAGCCAATTTGTCATAGTAGGACTAAGACCCCATTTCATGCCTATGGTTCTCCTACATATCGCCCAGCACCGATGTGCCTTGTTGATCCTATCCTCTATGTGGTGTCTCCATTTTAATTTCCGGTCAAGTATTACACCTAAGTACTTAACTTTGTCTGTCACCGGTATCTTCTTGCCCAAGAAGCAAGGTTCAGTATATGTAGAAATTTGTGTCTTTCTTGTGAAAAGACAGATTACTGTCTTCGCCGGGTTAACATTGAGGCCTCTCGGTTGAGCCCAGCTCAAGGCCGTATTCAGAGCCTCCTCAGCTCTTCTACACAAGTAATCAATAAAACTAAGTTTTGCCGATTTTTGTTGATATAATAGAACATTTAACATAATTATGAGCCCAAAAGCCCTATTCGAGGGGTACGATTGTATGGGGACTAGGCGAAATAATGAACCAATTTCCACCATTTTCAATAGCGTTCGTCCTTGGGAAGAGAAGAGTATGTGCCAAATTTCATGTAAAGCGCACAAGCTTTACATGGACATACAGACGGACGTACGGACTAAATCGACTGAGAAAGTGATTCTGATACGATTGGGTGTTACCAACATCAGCACAAACGCATAATATCCTCCCCACTATAGTGGTGTAGGGTATAAATACATGAACTAGTTTCAATGATTTCAATCCTCTGTTAACCCAAGTACTTTTGCTAAGATGTATTTTCGTTGTTTCTGCTGTTAAATCATTGAAATGCATGAAGAAAGACTTTAACAAATCGCATTGCCATCAGTCAGTCAGAATGTACATTTGATGCATTAGTTGAACACACGTACGGAGAACATTAAAAATGTTTCAATATTAGGATAGTTCCTAAAAACCAAGTAAAAATATATACGAATATTCCAAATGTTATATACCCATCGAAAAAGCATATTTCCCATGGGTAATTTTCGGAAAAGTAAATAAATATTTCTTGATAATATGTATGTATGTATGTTTCAAATATTTGAAGCCTTATTGTAAATATATATAAATGTAAATATGTAGATTTCATTTCAATATGTACATATACAGACAAAAACATATGTATATAAGTATGTTTTTGTCAGTACATTTAAATGTGCACATTTATATCTTTAGAAAATTTAATGCAACACATTAGAAGAATAAGATACCTTCATATGTCTGTACTTATACTGTCTGTTTTAAATTTTTAAACTCTACCAAGAGTGTAGTAAATACAAATGTATCAAGTCTGAGAATAAATAAATGTGCATTTACAAACATACATATGTATGTGCATAAATATTTTCTAAGAAATTGTATTTTCACATCCGCTTTCGAGTTTATTTTATAAACATCATATGCAACTTAACACATTAACTGATAATTTAGGAGAAAATTATGCCACATCAGCACATTTATTTGTTTTTGAAAACAAACTTTACCCAAAAACTATTGCAATATACATATACAATGTACATTCATTCATCTTTTACTGCAGAGTTGTGGAAGAGTATACAAATGTTAGTGTCTATTATATTTGTGGTAGCACATTAATAAGGGGTAATTCATACAACATGTACGTATGTATATATCTACCTTGAATGTATTTATATTAATTTATCTAGTCAGTGGTAGTGGTGGTGGCACACTGTGGGGCGAAATTGTCAGAAATTTAAAACTAATTTTAAAAGAAATAAATGCAATAAAACAAAATTAATAAAATTATTCCTTTTGAGAACTTTATGGACAATTTTCTTTCTATTTATCTCTTCGACAGTCATTTCTTAAGTCAGTCAATATGCCATGTTGTTAAAACTAATCCCTTAAAGCTGCTTTATTTCTTGCACTAATTTTTCACCATATTTCTTGCCTTATATTTGCAGATTACTTTGCCAGGAGATCAACCAGGATGATTCATTTCATCTCGAATACCGTGGACCAGTCGTTATGAAAGGCAAACCAACACCCATGGATTGTTGGTTTCTCACACGTAATACAAATGCTACGGGCAGTACTGGCGGTAGTACTAGTGGCACTATTGACTCACCCTTGCCACCACAAACACCAACTATTGCAGCAGCACCATCAACAACACTATCCCAACTACAAACCTCAACATCACTACAGCCATCAGCATCGTCATCATCATCAGCAGCAGCAGTATCATGTGTACAATCTCAAATACAAACACAACAGCCAACAACTCATCCAACACCAACTGTGCGCACACATGGTGTAGCGACGACATCATCTGCATCACCATCACGAAAAACATCTAATGCTAGCATAGCATCAGAATCTTCCTCAACAAATTCACAATCCACTGCAGCCACTGTTGCTGAACATGCAAATGCTCAAGCAACAACAACGGAAACATAGAAAATGTGTAAAGAATCGTCCTGTTGCTGCTGAAATATACTCTAAGGATGCGTTCGTACATTTTATACCATTACTAGATGGTTGGTAAGTACGTCTTACATACACATGTATGTGTGTTAGTATACATTGTCTTCATTGTTTAACTAGTTCTTGTTATAAAGGATGTGGTTTACAATTACATATATACAAATAGACAAACATGTATGTATTTACATATGTATGTATGTAGTCAAGAACATTAGTAACTAAAGGTAATTTATTTTAAAGTAATTTGGGTGGCCCCACAACAAAAGGTGCTAATGTTTCCAACTAAAACGAAAGATTTATTCTTCTAAAAAAAATCGTTAGTTTTGTAAATCAAATCATTTTTGTAATGTTATCTGAAGATAGGAATGTACAAAATTCTTCCTTATAAACTGGACAATCTTAATGTATATTTATTGCCCTTACAACCTTTAAGACAAAAGACATTTCTACACACTGAATTTGTATCTAGACAATGCAAATGATAATAATCTTGAAATAAACAGTGATCAAAATAAGAGCACTACTTATTGACATCTACCTAGCAAATAAAGTTCCTAATGTTGTTTAAATATCGAACCAAAAATCTAGCAAATATTTTTAAAATAAAATTTTCGAGAAGAGTTTTGAAAGATCCTTCAAAAATTTGTTCAATAATACCACCACTGCTCAGCTATTTTATGAGATAAATACATTAGATCAGAATTTTGGACATATATATGTAGATCCAAATCTTGCTTAAATAATATAGTTTACACAAAATTCCTAAAACAGGAAAAATACGTTCCAAAAAATTTGTTTTTTGATAAAAGTGGCCACTGTGACGTTATTTACCGAGTGATAGTAAAAATACTTCGGATATATTTAAGGCACATATAGGGCTATATAAATATAGAGTCATTATGAGAATCGATGCTTTGCGTTTTTAGAATTTTTTACAAAATCAAAAATGGGGGGCTACCCATTGGCCCCCATTCCCCTCCCAAAATCACCTAAAACTGTCAGTTATCTCGAATATATGTGAAATTTCGTTATGATACATATATGCAGTAGATCAAGAGAAAAATATCCAAAAATAAATGTCTGTATACACAGAGGAAAAAAAAAGTTTTAAAATTAAAACCGCCTGGTACCAAATTGACACCAAAGTGTTTATAATTTTTTAATAACATCCGTTGTTAAAGTTGTAAAATCAATAACAAAAATTTTAAAAATACACGACGTTATCAGAACAAACAAAAAATAATAATGTGTTACCAAGCTGACAACGCTATGCTGTCAAACAGAACGTTACCGAATGCATTGTCGAAATTACACAATGCGTAATCAAATTGACAACAATGCGTTGTCAAAATTACAACGGTGGTTGTCAATTTCGGTACTAGTTTTTTCCATCTGTGTACCGCTACATTTTTCACATTTCTGTCCACTATACATACATTTGTACATTAGGGTGGCCCCAAAATGGAAGTTGCCGATGTTCTCACCGAAAATGAATATTTAGTTCATTCTAAGATACCATCTGAAAATTATACGAAAAATTAGAAAATTTTCGATTACTTTCACTGTTACAAAAAAATGTCTGATATGTCGTATGTTGGTATCTTATGATACCAAAATTTTATATCTTTACTTTGGAAGAAATATGAAAATATCACAAAAACCTCAAAAAAGGACCTTTTTATCCAGCTCGCCAAATATTGACTCCAGAACAAAAATTTCGAGAAACGCAATCTTATAATCAATTAAACTTCAATTTTAGTTTGGAACATCGACTCCTTATTTCTCCTCCATAGAATCGAGGCCACGCTAATGTATATATTTGCACTTCATTCTGATGCAAATCTAATGCAGTGCATTTGTATAGATTTTGCATAAAATCTCTTTTCAATTGATGAAGATTCTTATAAAAAATGCAAATGTATTCCTACTTATCGTGTGATTATTATAAAACATTCTAAGATATTGCAAATTGTTATATATGTACATTCGTACTGTGACAAAACCATAAACTTGCAATATAATATTACAAATGCTAATGATGATTGTAGGTAATTTTACACATAGAATAATTATAACCAACATTATTATATGGGTATTGACATTATTAAATATTCATGTTGCAGAAAACCTTAAGTTCTCATCCTGACCTACAACATACATAGTTGTTTGTCTAAAAATAAAATATATAATAAGGCCTTAATTCATAAATTGTTATCAAAGGTTTATAGAAAAAATTTTGTAAGAAAATTTGATTTATAAACCGTTGATAAAAGTTTATGAATAAGTCAGATAATATTTATAGCTGTAAAAATTTTTAATAAAAATTTACATTTACCTGTCTAATTATAACATAATATTTATCTTAATTAATTCCGCTAAACCAAACAAATTTTTTTTCTACACATAACTACTATTCATTTCCTCTATCATCTTACTCATTTCTTTTTGAAAAAGAAAATGGAAACAAAATTCTTAATTAAATTAAAATTAATACAAGCGTAAATTTAATCCCAACCCAATTAGTGTGTAATAAAAAAATATAAAAAAAGACAAGAGAAAAACTATGTTTAAATATAATAAAAATCAACAAAAATTCTCACAGTCAAGTAATAGGTTGCACGTAGAAAGAAGCCAAATAAAAAAAATAATAAATTAATTCCACTGAAAGTTGCAATTTTACCTTTCACTCAAACGTCAATGCAATTGAAGGACAACTTTACAGACAAGTCTTGCACAGCACTCAAGTTAATGAGTACTTACAGCTGTTAATATTTAAAATAGAAAAAATATAAGAATGATAACAAAGTCTTGTTAAAAATAAAAATAAAATTAAAACACTCTGGTACCTCAACACTACACCATTATATTGGAGAGGGTATTATGAGTTAAATACACTACTTAAGGCCTTATTCATAAACAATTTTATATTTTATAAATTGTTTATAAATCAAATTTTATATGCAAATTTTGTTTCAGAAATCTTTTATAAAATAAAACTTTGTTTATGACTAAGGAAGTTAAAGTAGATATATCAAATATATTATAATAATATTCTAAGTCAATTTTGCTATGTCCATACTTCCGATCATCCGTTTATGTAAACATTCTAATCAAACTATAGAACGCAATTTTGAATATAATGAAATTAAATTTGTTATATGATATATTTTTATATCATATACGAAGCATATTTATAATAGTTAAAATCCATCAATCGGCCATGTCTGATTATATTTTTCATGTTTTACTAGGCAGTTATCAAAAAAAGAGATTTCCTTTTCATTCCCATTTAATAAAAGTCTAATTGAAATAACATAAAAAATATGAATTTATTTGTATATATTTATATTAAGAAAAATGTTTGAAAACCACTGAGAATATTAAATAAATTATAACGATGACCATCAAGCGTACTTGGGCCAAAACCTTTTACGCTTTCAATACTATGCTATTGCTTAAAGGCTCACGCTGTCGTGCTAAAAGGATAGTTATTTTTTCATTTATATATAGTATGTTTTAGCGTTTTTCCATTTTCTTGTTGCTAGAAAGTTTTTTATTATTATTATTATTATTTTTTTTTTTTTGCTTAACGACACAAAAAAATAATTTCACGATTTTAAATATATGTATATGCAAGTATTTTAAATAAAATTGCTCTATTTTTTATATTTAAAAAATAAACACGAATTTATATAATTTTTCTTTTTAAGGAGCAATTGTAAATAATTATTATACCACCTTATTTATCATAAATGTCAGGTTGGGATTTATTTATCTCAGTTTTTCTTTAAACGTAATATTAAAAAAATTACAATTAAAATGAATTACTTGATATATTAAAAGAAATAATATTTCATGTCGACATAAATTGTATGGCAACGAGGAATAAAACCACATAAATGTAACTTAATTAATACACAATTTTTGGTTTGTGAAATAATATTTAAACAAGTAAGAAAGTGCAAATAGGACATACCCTACACCAAAAGTAGGGCATACCCACACTAAAGTAGTTCTTTATGGGAGCTTGGGTCATATATGGACCCTTGGATACTTGAACTTAATTGTATAATTGTTATGGCGGATTTTTAATGAAATGAATTAAAAACATAAACTGAAAGTTTTTCGGTAAAACAGGAACACACAACTGTTGTCGACACTAAAATACTCTCTAGTAAATATATCAGATAAGTTAGTCATTCATGTTCTAGTCCTCTAGTCTGGAAGTCGTAGGTTCACTAGAGACTCTCGCAAATAAGTACACAACAGGACCAATAGTAGCATGGAAAATAGAAATTTTCACTTTTATCAAACAGAGTACTTTTTTAGAGCTAAAAGTACTAAATAACTTTTCGACTATTTATCTATAATATAGTTTATTACTTGGACTATGGACTAGTCCATTTCCTAGAACTAGCCTATGTACTAGACTAGTATATTTCCTAGTTTTTTTATTATTCACTATTCAATGGACTGGTTTACTGACTACTCTATGGAGTAGTCTTTTGTCTAGTCTATGGAATAGTCTATGGACCAACCTATTGACTAGTCCATTGTCTATGTTCTAGACTATGAAGTAGTATTTTGACAAATCTATTAACTAGTCTATGGACTAATCTATTGAATAGGGTTTTAACATGTCTATTGACTGATTTATTGTCTAGTCTATTATTTTGTATATTGACTAATCTACTGAATAGTCTATCGTCTTGTCTATCATCTTATCTATCGCCTTATCTATCGCCTTGTCTATTGACTATTCTATGAACTAGACTATTACCTATTCTATGGATGAGTCTATTAACTGCTCTAAGAGTAGTCTATTAACTAGTCTATCGACTACTGACTAGCCTCTGGTCTAGTCTTTGATATATTCTATGAACTAGACTATTAACTATTCTATGGATTAGTCTATTAACTGCTCTAAGGAGTAGTCTATTAATAAGTCAATTGACTAGTCTATCGACTACTGACTAGCCTCTGGACTAGTCTATGACATATTTTATTGACTGGTCTATTGACTATTCATTGGACTATCTTATATGGGACAATTGACT